GGACGAGTAAACGTATCGCCGCCCTTTTCGAAAAGTTTCCTTCCTTCGGTTTTGGTTTATGGCAGGAGAGTTCATGGGTTGCATGACAGGCTGAATCGATATCAGTCTATGAGTAATGTGTTCATGGTCGGCGTCACGGTACAAAACTTGCATGGTTGCTCTTCATCTGATTCCATCTCGTACAAGATAGAGAATAGATTCCCCCAACACTTCATATTCTTCGCTTTGCTTGCTCTTTGATCTAACATGTGGTCATCATCATCATCATCTGTCCAGCTCCGATCGAATTGGAGATGCCTAATCATCACATGGAAATACCGACGACTTCTTCCACAGCAGCTTCACATTCACACGCAACTACGTCATCCGTTATTTGGTAGTAGTAGCTCTAACGTGTCTGTGGCCCGTGGCGTGAACTATGCTTAGTCACTCCCATTCAAGCATGCTTTCTATCAGCTATGTGACAGGTCGATCGCCAACTACAAGCCATCCATCAAACTTTAGTCACGCCGTTTCAAAGACACTACATGCTGACATAATATCTAAGCTGAATACAATGCTAATCGAGGGCGAAAGCAGTCAACGCCCAGGTTGAAGAATACGAATGCAACTTTGACGTCGGAGAGTAAGGGCTCTCTCATATGTAAATGCCTGGGCGAAATACCAGAAATCTTTACCATTGTCGATGTCATTCGACGCTACCGCCATCGATCGTAGTGCTTATCTTGCTATCAACAGGCTTGATTCCCGGGTTGGTTAAGAAATCTGTAAAAAATAGTGTTGCAGCACACATGTTCGCTTTGAGTTTCAAAAGAGGTGTTATCTGGTTACGGATACCTCCTGGGTGTACTATCAAAAGTCTGTTTGTTGTTGACGATGCTGTACATGCACATCAGCGCGTTGGAGTAGCACATGAAGGCTGCTAAGACGGGCCTTGGCCACAAGGATCTGATCAATCGCGCCCGCGCTCTTCTCGCGAAATTCACACTCTAACATCTTCGAGGTTGTTACTTAGTTCGGACTGGAGTCTAGCTTGTCCCGGTCTTGGTTCTGCTTTCGCATGCTGTGCTCGATCCGTGCATGTAGAGCATCAGACTTTAGTCACTCCAGATAGATCTTTCATCACACACTGTTTAGCCTTGACACAGCCGGAATACTTAGCTTTAGAGATGTTTACTTTAGATGAAAAATATGTAGTCGACAGCTAAGCGACTGGTCTATTGGAGGAGGGTATGTACCAACGATATATGAGATAAGACCCAAGCGCAATGTATGATTACGCTTCCAGTTTATGATAACAGATTACACCATCCCACACCAAATACATAAGGACGCTCTTCTTATACCTGGCATTCCACAGGGTACCAGACATACTGTCCATTTTCTCTAGGTGTAAAAGCATTCTCAAATGTTGGACCGGGGTATCCGAGTGCGAGTGTGCAGATACTGCTTATGGTGTTGATGCCATAAACACGGCAAGTACGGCCGGCGAGATTGTAGTTCTGACACTTGGTTCTGCAAGAGGCCGGGGTCTGCTGACCAGCGTTGGTGTAGGTTATTCCTCCCTTTAGGAAACCGTTAACGCCGCAAGTAGGTTGTGGTTCAGGTATCGGGGTAGGTGTGGGGGTGGGAGTAGGCGTAGGCGTAGGGGTGGGGGTCGAAGTCGAGGTTGAGGTACTGGACGATATCGAGGTAGAGCTGACCATAACATCTGTGCTAGTGGGAGGGGTGACAGTTGTCGTTTCAACAGTGGAGGAAGGCGACGGGGTCGAGCTTGATGCTGAACTGCTCGGCTGCACGGTGTTGGAGACAACGTAGACAGCTTTGATTATCAGCAAAAGTTAGGCAACTCAGCTCGGTCCACTTACCATCAACATTGTCATTCGAAGAACCACCGTTCTTCGTGTTTTTGAGATAGCAAGTACCAGCACCCTTGCCACCAACGAAAGAAGCGGCGACGCACTGTGCATCGCCTGCGCAAGCTTGTGTGCAAGCCTGGAGACTTGCTGCGTACTGGTTGGCGAAATCACCTCCATAGAAGTCAACTCCACACGTAAGTGCCAGAGTGCGTGAGCCATCAGTGTACGAGCAGCCATTGTTTTCTGGGCAGGTGAAACTGCCAGGACACTGCGTGGGGGTATCCGGCGCTGGAGTAGGCGTTGTTGTAGCATCTCTGGAGATCACAGCTACTCCGATGACATTGGCACTAATGACTGAGTTAATTGGAAGTCAATTACAAAGTAAGGACATCATACTTAGGCTGAGCGGCATTGAGCTTGCTTTTGAGGTAGCAGTTACCATCTACGTAGCTTGCAGCATTGCATCCTATGGTTGTGGAGCATACCCGAATGCAGCTTGCCAGGGATGATGTCTAAGAAACGATGAGCTTTGTATTCGAGACAGCTCACTGTGGAGTCATGCTTACCTGTGCTAACTGCAAATCGCCACCGTAGTAGTCAGTCGCACAGCTGACTTGAAGAGTGGCTCCGTTCAAGGTGATTGAGCATTGGTCGTCCTGAGGGCAGGTGGGTGATGATGGGCAGGTCGAGGCGGCTCGCAATGCAAGCGCGATTGCGCGAAGGGCAGGTGCCATCTTGAAATGAAGTTCTGGAGAGGATGGAATCTGAATCTGGTGAAGCAGAAAAGCAGCGTGCTTGACAGCTTTATACCCTTTCAACGTTACTTGCCATGGTCTGAACGCAAGGGAAAATCGCCGAGCGAGGAAGCAATGCGTCCATAAACAACGATAGAGTACGCCTTTGGCTCGATAGGGTCTGGCCTTGGTCCGGGCTGGTCATTGAGATGGAACTCGAATGCGCCCACGAAAAACCTTTGAAGGACCTCAGCTTCGAATTTTCAGCCTCAAAATGTCGTTTAGGTCTGTGGCTTAATGCTCTTCTCAAAGAAGCATCGGCAACGCGCCGCATCGTGTGTATCAGGCTAGCGCTAAGAGCGGGAGGTAGAATCCGGGGTTAGTCCAGGGGATCGGCTGCAGCCCAGACCGAGGTCGAGGCTAGAGATGTAGACCACGGACACAAAGACGAACCTAGATAGAGTGCTGAAGTTTCTAGCTTAATGAATCTGTATTTGCGGGATGCGGAGTCGCCGATGAAGCTTCGTTGTTCTCCGGCTTGCGCAGGAGTCGAGCATTACGAAGGAACTCGTTTTGATCTTGACGCCCATGCCCCACGCCAGATTTAGGTGTTGATACAAACGAACTTCTTCATAAACTCGCGTGCCATGTACTAGGACGATGCAGGTGAAGATCGCTTGATCGGAAAAGACGAGGCGAAGTAAGAAAGGAACAAATAACGCTGAATTCTCCAAACTGGGTATCGAACCACCAAAACTCACCCCTTCACACTTCACACCCCCTCAGAACACCGCCACAGCATTAGGCAAACTCCCCACACCCCCAGGCACATCCACCGGTTTACTAACCACCAAAAACTCCCACCTCCCCCTCTCCTTGCACATTCCCACCAACCCCTCCAGATCCCACAGCTCGCCAATCGGCATCCCCCACATACTCAACATACACGCATGCAGACTGCCCTCGAAGCTTTCCGGCGGCCAAACCTCGAAATTCGCATTATCGGTCGCAGCAGCCGCGAAGTAGTTGTCGTAAAGAAAGTCTTTCATGGCGTCGTCGGCGGCGAGACCGGCGTAGAAATGCTGGTCGTGGGGGAGGGTGCTGCGGGAGGACTTTTGAGACGGGGAGAGGGAAGTGTAGGTGGAGAGCCAGCCGGTGCGGATGAGGAGGATGTCGCCAGTTTGGAAGGATGTGCCTTGGGATTGAGCACATGCACGCAAGTCGTCTGCTGTAATGCCGTGGTTGGTAAAGGTGTCGTATCCCTTCCCCGTTTTCTGAGACCAGGAGTATACGTCAAGGAGGACGCCGCGGCCAATGATACCCTTTTTGGCCCACGCGTCGATACCGAGTTTACGGGAGCGCTCAGGTGCTGCGTCGCCGTCTTCGCCGTCTTCGTCGTCGTCGTCTACGTCCGCCATGATTTCATCTGAGAGAACGCCGTTGTAGTGGCATTCATATTTTGGATGTGCAAAGTGGCGGAAACCGTCCCATTGAGAACTGCTTTGCGTGTTGAATGCTACTTCGTCGTCGAAAGCGCCTGGGGCGATGGTTTTGATGCGGTGTTTTAGGCCTTTTCGTCCGAAGAAGGCTGGGCTGGGGACGTTCAAGGGGAGGTCTAGTGAGACTGATTCTCCTGTTTTGACATTTTCTTGTGTCGCTTTTACTATTCGCTCCGGGGTGAGGAGATTCAGGCGTCCGAGTTCATCGTGGCCGCCCCAGAACCAGGCGTTGTCTTTTGGGGTGCCGGCGATGTGTGGTAGGGCTGAGCGTTTGGGGAAGGTTGATGCGTTGCCGTTGGGATTTAGCCTCATTATAGATGGACGATTGGTAGCGAAATAAGTTCTTGGGGGCGGTGTTCTTGTGTTAGGGATTGCTTCAGATGGACATAGTCGTTTTTGAGATGGCGGTCAATGTATTACGAGTGACGTCAAGTAATCGTCGTGCATGCATGTTCGCGTGTCCCCGCGCCCCACCCAACTCTTTAACTATATTCAGCTTTTGATAAAAGCTCGAAGGAAATGGTGTAGAGACCGCGAGGAAGTGAAGACGATTAAAGTGTATACACCTCGATTGGATATCCGACGTGCATTCCGTCCCGCCAACTACCAGACCAGCCGAATGCGCATCAGTCGTTTCGCGCACGCTCATTCCGTAGACGACTTCTTGTGTCGCGTGCTATCGAAACAGTGTATTTGCTTCGTCTTCTCTGTCAGCGCCGCTTGGGCCGGTCTTGCCGGTGAACGACCCGTATATGCATAGCTGGTTTCATGACCTATCGCCTGCAGAAGCCAGGAAGCCAGACTTTAGCCATGGTCGGCTTTGATGGTCACCCAACTCTTCCACGCGGCACTCTCATCTCCAGTACCGTCTCTCCTCACGTCTCCCACTACCACATTTCCACCCTGCCCTACGTCGCCTTACAAATCTTCTTATGCCCCTTCCAATCCACCTTCTGACACTCCTGCGAACAATACCTCGCCTTTTTACACTTGCCACAAGCCGAGAAGACCTTGCCATCCTTCGGGCTCCTCCCGCAGTTAGTGCAATCCCCCTCTTTCCTCGGTCCCCTTCCTTTCTTGAGAACCGCAGCCATAGCCGGCACCTTCATGTTCATCATCTCGACCAACGTCTTGATACTCATACCATCCGTGTCCTTGCTGTCGACATCACCGCCATGCTCCACGTACCACTTGAGCATCTGCACGTTCTTGCTCGTGTCGCCGTGGATGTCGGCTTGGGCGATCTCTGAACCTGGGGTAGCACCGAAGCGGTTCTTCGTGTTGACGGAACCGCCAGCGTCGAAGAGGATCTGCGCGAATTCGAGTTGCACGTAGGGTTTTGTGGATATGGCCCAGAAGAGGGCGGTGCTGCCCACGACGTCCTTGCCATCGACTGGCACTTTGAGATCATTGGCTAGATACTTCACGACGCCCAGTAATTCTTGCTTCTTGTTTGGCATCATGTGCAGCGCTGGCAAGAGTACATTGTAGATGGGTGTTTTCGTGGGGCCCCATCGTTTGGCGAAGAGATCCTTCCTGAGCGTCTCGCGAGCTTCCTCGGTGCCCCCGAGCTGTTTGATCATCATCTCCACGTAGTTTTGTAGTGCGTCGAATTCTTGATTGAAGATAGCGAGGAGGGTCTGGCCGACTGGGTCCTTGAGGTCACGACTGGGCACCGTGGGGTTGTTGTGGCTCCAGCCGCGAAGTTCCATGCCGTCCATGCCAGCGAGCTGGTCATCGGAATTGATCATGTCTTCCACCGTACTTGACACTGCACATTAGCAACTCATTGGAGCTTCAAAGGTGTTGCGCTGAATACCGGCTTGACCGCCCTTGCATGTTCTGCAACATTTGCATGAACTGAGCCGACATGTTGTATGTTGTTCAATTGGTAGACTGGAGTAAAGTTCGTGTGGGTGCAGTCGTGTGAGAGTGATGTTGAATGGCAGGATGTTGGGACGGAGGGGTGACGGCGTGGCCCTTTCGCGCTTGGAGCTATCGATAGCACACGCGACTTCACGTGTTTCATCAACAACGCGCAGTGGCGGCTGGTCTAACAGCTGAAGCATTTGGAGCGTCTTGTCTGCACCCGGGTCACTACTTCTCAAAGGCGATCAAGTTAGGGCACCAATTTTGACATAGGTATATATTGGGTAACGATGAAGCGTAGCAGCTCCAATGAAACAGACATTCCGATAAACGCCGGTCTCGAACTCCGCATCCAGATGCAAAGTGTGTCCAGCTCGCCAGGGTGGAAGGTATCGTATATCCAAACGCCAATGAACATACAGGTATCACCAGATTCACGTCCTCAGACCCAGTCACATTCCGTGTTCTATCCCAACAAGTGTCTACTTCTTCAATGCGGCGTCGTAAAGGCTGACAAGTATGCCAACCAGCGAGCCAATTTGTAGCCCATAGTATCCTCCCGGGACATTGTTTCCTACGCGCGCGACCGCGTACTCGGAGAAGGGACCCCAGGCACTTGGTGCAAATGCCATGTTGACAGTTTCCCGGTAGGCATTGTACGACAGGACTGCCCGCGCAATGTTGAAGATGAGCGGGTCAGCGGGGTATTGGCGCTCGGAAGACTTGCGCGAAGTGTTTGATCGAAGGGTCAAGTTGAAGAAGTATGAGAACATCAGCGGTAGCACCCAGCTCGTCAGCGACCAGAGGGTAGCTGGTGCCCACCACTCGGCTGAGAGCAGCGCCCAAAAGTTTGGTCCTCGAACGTCTTGGCTGCTCGTGTATGAGCCCAAGGCGGCGGGTGTAGCGAATAACGGAGTGGTGTCGAGCGTGTTGTACTGTAGTCCTACAGCTTCGACAAGCAGGATGATGGTTTGAATGGTAGCGACCGAGCTTGCGTTTTCGCGAACAAATTCCTTCAGCTCATCGATCCTAGTCCTGTCCCACAGCTCGACAGCCTTGGTCTGGACCACTTGGAAGGACTGGTCGGCGACCTCAGCGAGTTGGGCAGGCGATGCGGGAATGTCCACTTGATTGTACAGCTCGGAAACGCGACGAGAGACGGCCTTGGGTTCGGCTTGAGCGACCACCTCGGAAACGCGACGGGACACGGCCTTGGGTTCGGCTTCAGCGACCATCTCGGAAACACGTCGAGAGACGGATCTCGGCTTTGGTGTGCGCGCGACAACGCTACGGATTTCTGGTGTAATGATGGGGGTGGACTCTGGACTGCGCGTCTGTTAGCCTCAGCGCGTCGCGCGTCGCGTATCCAAATTTGACATACGAAGGGTCCTTGTTAAGAGTTCGGCGGCGCGTCGTCTTCGTGATGAAGGGCTCTGGCGAAGACTTTTCGCGCTTTACTGGCGACCCATTGCGTCCATAGTAGTCGCTAAACTCGGGGAGTTTGGCAAAGGTGCTCTCATTGGAGTTGAGATGGCTCTCGAGCAGGTCCACGAGATCATCTTTCAAGAGGCCATCTGCACTGCAAACGACTTGTTAGTATCGCATACACGCGCAGGATCAATTATAGCCTACTCGGGAAGTCTAGCCTTCTGCGCAAGGTCGATCAAGTCAGCTTTGCGCTTCCTTTGAAGCCAAGAGTGGGACATGGTGAGTGGTATAGATCAGGTCGCGTAAAGCTTGCGATCAAAATGAATCAAGAATGCAAGCCGAAAAAGCGTCGTGGGCGAAAAAGGTGGGGGCGGTGTGGTGTTGATCGGATGCAGAGAGACTCTGAATGTAAACACGATGGCTGGGGCTCACGTGGGTCATCTGGGCGCTAACTGTTGCAGGGCTTAGCCTACAGAATACATTGATCTGCACCTGGGCAGCAACACCACGCTGTCTCTGAGCAAGATGCGTTGTCTGCAGTCGTTTTGGTGGCATTCGCGTAGGTATAGCTGAGGTAGTCTTAACTGCATCAAGCCGTCGTCTGGTCCCCGTGCTTCTGATAGCTGATAGCCAGGGCTTGCAGGGATGTGGCTGCGCAGCTCCGGTCTTGGCCGAAATTTTCCAGACGCAACATCATCGCACGGCCGCAGCGGCAGCAACGTCACTCTTTGAAGATACCCTTGCACATATCAAACTTCTCTATACTCGTCTTTCTTCACTACAACACCCACCAATCCACTCCCAGTGCATCGCTGCCATCGAAGCGCTCATGGTACTTGCCCGCGTGGCCAACTTCTTCACGAACGGAGACTCTACCACCAACCTGACCGACGGTAGCCGGAGACATGGCCCAAGCACAACACACGCAGTGGAACTGCCCATGGAGGATACCAAGCGGGCAGCAATGGAGGACGAGGTAGACGAGGAAGCAGCGCGGCCGCCATACCTACATGTGAGGATGCCTAGTCTGCAGAGATGAGGGATGCCAATTGATCACAAACAGGCAATGCTGGCAGGAGGAATAGGAGGCACCACAGGCGACATGTTGATGCATTCGCTGGATACGGTCAAGACGCGACAACAGGGCGACCCGCACATGCCGCCCAAGTACACATCCATGGGCAACACATACTACACCATATGGCGGCAAGAGGGCTTCCGGAAAGGATTGTACGGAGGAGTGAAGCCAGCGTTTCTTGGCTCATTCTCGGGCACTGTGTGCTTCTTTGGAGCATACGAGTGGACCAAGCGGACCATGATTGACTATGGGGTTGCGCCCTCGGTCGCATACTTCTCAGCCGGTACACCTCCCTACAGATCAATACCGTCCCGCCATGTACTGACAAACTTCTAGGTCTGCTCGCTGATCTCGCTGCTGCCCCCGCATACGTCCCCTCTGAAGTCCTCAAGACTCGCCTCCAATTACAAGGCCGCTACAACAACCCCTACTTCAATTCAGGCTACAACTACCGCGGGACCATCGATGCCGCGCGAACAATAGCCAGGGTGGAAGGCTACAGCGCCCTCTTCCACGGCTACAAGGCCACTCTCTGGCGCGACCTCCCCTTCTCAGCACTACAGTTTGCCTTTTACGAAGAGGAGCGGGACTGGGCCAAGAAGTACATGGGCTCAAACAACATCGGACTGCCGCTAGAAATCGCAACCGCAGCGACCGCAGGCGGCATGGCAGGCGTCATAACAACCCCTCTCGACGTAGTCAAGACACGCATCCAGACGCAACATAACGGCCCGTCTCCCACCTCTCCACCCCCACCCAAAGCACCACTCTCGCCCGCCGCGGCCTCGAAACACTCGACCCCCTCGCAAACAACCAAGACGAAATCGACGCAAAGTAGACCCATATCCACTTCATCTCCTTCCACGACACTAAAGGCTCACGGCGCCGCTACTCTCGACACATCTTCCGTCATGACCGGCCTAAGGATAATATACAAAACAGAAGGAATAGCGGGGTGGTTCAGAGGCGTGGGTCCGCGCGCCGTCTGGACAAGTGTGCAATCAGGGACCATGTTGGTACTGTACCAAACGCTACTAAGGTATTTCGAGCAACATCCGCTGTCTGGCGGCGGAGATGTGTAAACGTATTTGTACGATTTGTAAGAATAAAGGAAGGAAGGGGGAAGAGAACAGCATGACTGCGAACACGGATATGGAGGTTTATAGATAAGATGCATTCAGCGGCGTTTACTTGTAGATATATGTGTCGCTGTGAGCATAGCGCCACTTTGAAGCGATATAGAATTGTGCTTTACCAAGACATTTACACTCACAGATACCCAGACTCTTCATGCAATGACCCTGCGCCCTCCCCTTCCGCAAAAGGCATTGTTCGATCGATAACTTCATTCAACATCCCCCCGCTACATCGCACATATCCATCACATCCGTTCCTTCTCTGACATCGCTCTAGCCTCCTCCTCCTCCCTCTCCTCCTTCCTCCTCCTCTCATCCTCCCTCTCCCTCCTCTCATCCTCCCTCTCCCTCCTCATATCCTCCCTCTCCCTCCTCTTATCCTCCTTCTCCCTCCTATCCAGCTCCTTGTCTCTCCTCTCCGCCTTCTCCACCTGCCACCTCACAAACCCAACGAGGTTAGGATAAGTTACATGCCTCGGCCAATTGCGTCGCAGCACGCTTGTTGCATCCTCGAGCTGCGCAAGTTGTTCTTCAGAGAATGTGGCGACGAGGTCGTCCCACGCGGATGGTTGTATTGAAGGGTCGTGGCGCGCGCGGAAGAAGAGGTCGAGGGCGGCTTCGACGGCGTCGTGGGGTGGGGCTGTGGGTGTGGTGTTGGGTGGCATGTTGGAGTGTGTGCGGTGTATGAATGCTTGGATGTTACGTGCTTGGGCGGGATTCGGAAAGGAGTGTAAGAAGCATCGTCAAGGAAGTGGCACGGAAAGGCAGATTTTATACTTGCGTGCATTCAAGTTCGTCGATTCAATGCCGGACTTCAAGATCAAATACGTGAACGCATTACACGCACGCACAGCTTCCGTAATGTTATCAACAATCTTGAACATATCCCTATCACATACCAATCTCCCTCCCCCCTTAGATCCAACCCCAACACCCATCCTACCTCCCCCTCCTCTCCTCTCCTTCCCCACCAGCACCCGCACCACCCGCAAGCGTCCCCCTCTTAACCCTCCTAAAGCAAGCAAACTGCACCTTAGTCCCCTCCCTCAACCTCTTCAAGCTCACCCTCAAGCTGCCCAGTTCCTCCTGCAGCCTCACTCTCGCCGCATTATCCGTCTTCTGATCCAGCACCTGGTAGATATCCGTCTGGATCTGCGACGCCTTCTCTGTGGTGTACGAAGCGAGCGTCTGTGCCATGAACTCCACGTCGAGGGTCGCTTGCATGAGTTGCGGGAGGGAGATAGTGGGGAGGTTGGCGGATTGGAAGGTCGTTATGAGGGAGGTTGTTGTGGCTTCGAATAGGGAGCGCAGGATGCGCGGGGTTAGGGGTGCGGATGTGGTTGACGACTCGGTGTGCACGATTACGAGGTCCAGGAGGACGGTGAAGACGTAGGGGCTTGGGTCGCGGTCTGCGACGCTTTTGCGGTTGTCGGGGGGAGGTGCCCAGGTGGGGCTGAAGATGCCGGATTCGATTGTTGAGTGGATTTTTGTGGCGTGCGGTTTTGTGTAGGAGCGGAAGAGTTGGGCGTCGAGTTGGGAGAGGACGTCGCGGATGCGGTTTGTTTCGTCGGTTAGTTGGACGCTGAAGAGGGTTTCGAAGAGGGTGAGGAGTGCGGGGGTTATTTCAGACTGGAAGGCGGACATGTTGGCGAGGGTTAGGAGGAGGCGGATGGACTGATGTTTATTAGCAGAGGGTGTGAGGTCAGGGTCGGTATAGCTTACCTTTTTGTTGGCGTCGACCCTGCCCCAGTCGTTGCCATTCTGATCATCTTGCTCGTCGATGGTCAGATCATCACTCTTGATCTCAAATTCAGCACCCAAAGCTTGTCTGCCTCGCTCTGCGCATTCAACCATCCCGCTAAGCGTCCTGTACAAGCTGGTGACGAACTGACTCCTAACCATCTGCAGCAGCTTATTGCTCGGTGGTACAACAACGTCCACTCTCGTCTTGCTTGATGCCTCGACGTAAAGGATCTTTTGCAGGTTGTTAAGCAGAAAGCTCTGTACCGCGAGGAAACGCTGAGGCAGGTTGGTTGTATCTTTGCGATCGACATGACGAGTCCAGTCTTCCAACACTTTCAACTTCTCAGCATCCGTGTTCCAAGCTGCACATACAGCTTGGATGCAGCGCTCGCGCACACCGCCAAGGAGCAAGCGCAGTGTTTCGTCAATGCGTCCGCTACCTCCTGACTCAGGAACTTGAAGCGATGCCAGTTCGTTGGCTGCGGTACCAATCAAAACGAGCATCTTGGACAGATAGTGAGATCCCGAAAGCGCATTCGCATTCGGCGGCCAGAAAGCATACTTCTCCCATGATTCTCCGCGACTAGGAGATGGTGGCGGTGCTTTGGCAGGATCGAATCTAGACCTCGACGCTGACATGGGACTCAACGCTGCGCTCAGTGGCGTTCCTGGCGTGGTCGGTGTCGGACTCATTGGAAGTGGCGACATGAGCATGGACACATCCTCGATTGGAGGATCCGAAAAGAACGAGAACAGATGGTCTCGTAGGATGCTGATGAGTTCGGTCGTACCTCTTTCCAGCTCAGCTTTGTTCTCGCTACTCAGACGGTGGTGGACAGACGACTGGTTGTGATGGACTGTTGGAAGGTTTCGCTGAGCGCGACCTGAGAGGAACGACTGGACAATCTCCCAGTATTCAACTAGCTCAGCAAGTAATCCGGATTTGTTTGAGAGTAGGGTCGTCATAGAGGCATACACGTGTTCCCAGAACTCCGTCACTTTCGGGGTGTCAAGCTTCGAAGGCTCAGCGCTGACGTTGCTGCTAGTAGGGACTGATCGCAGATGCTTTTGCAGCATGCGCATGCTTGGCTTCTCGCCGTTCGCCAGATGACGACGAAGGATCTCGATCTCAACAAGCGAGTGTTGGCACTTGGAGTTGAGCTGGAATTTAAGGTGTTCGTAGCGTGAGAGCAACCACACCCAAATCGGGTTCTCCTCTACACCCAGCTCGAGCATGATTGAGATGATGCTCAGATACTCGTCCGACTTGGTGTCTTCGGTTCCAGTCTGTAGGTGCGTGAAGTGTGCCGCGGTCAGACGCTTCCATGATTCGCGCTTGAACCGCTCGATCTGCCGCTCGACGTCTGACCACATTCTAGCCGTCACAATGACTTGATGTATCTCGGCATCGGTCAGCGGCCTCTGATTAGACGTCGCCTGTTCTACAATGTATCGAGCTTCGTCTGCGTATTTCCTCGCGCGCTTGTATTCTTCGGTGATTGTCTCGTGGTCCTTCCGGCGTATGGCATCTTGAATGGCTGATCCTACTTCGAACAACCCTCGGTGATGTTCCACAGACTCCATGATGGACTTCAATGTCTCTTCCCGCTCGCGCCCGTTTAGCGCTGGGCCCCAGACTTCTTCCGCCTTGACAGCGACTTCGGTCAGCGGGACCTTGATGCCATGAACACCGTATTCACTCTCCTTGACAAGCGCATTTTTTCTCTTCTCCGCAGGCACCGCGTCGACCATGCCTGGTGTCAGAGATGCGCTTGTCTTTCGGCCAGAGAAGCTCGATCGAGCCCTGGGTCTGCCGGTGCCAGGTTGTAGGTCCTTGTTGGGCGCTTCCACCTGCTCCTTCCCTTGGTCCCGCATCTCATTGTATACACGGTCGATTGTAGCTTTGGCGCCTACGAAACGATCGAAGTTGGATTCGACAAGGACCTTGAGCGAAGCAGACTTCTTCTCGATTGAGCGGGAAAGGAAGTCAAGACCGGCGAGGAGGGAGTCGGTGGAGGCTTCATTGTGCACTTGCGAGAGGAAGAGGGAGGGCGAGAAGGTGGTGGAGCTCAAGAGGAAGCGATTGCCTGTGTGTCCATTAGACAGGCGTTGTGTTTATTGCTATATGACTGGGACGTACGCAGCTTGATGTCATCCTCAACCTGAATGTTCTTCGCCCGCAGCACCTGCACTACACTGGGGTACATGCCCAATGGGTCCTGTTCATCCTTCTGGACCAATGTCTCCACGCCATCTTTCGAGCGCTCTGCTCCCGGAACCTGCCGCGAGAATCTTGCACTGGGCTCTAACACAGAGTATCGTGATTTGGACCGCCGTATCGATTGTTTCGTGGCTTTGGGTATGGGCTCGTCGAACGTATCCTCTTCGTCGGCTTCGTCCTTCTCCTGCGGCCAGGTTGCGGGGTATAGTGTCGTGAGATTGTACTTGTTCAGAATCTCGGTTTCTATAGAGGAACTCATCGCAGCTGTCGGAAGCTCTGTCCGATCACGATCTCTAGGAATGTGGTGGTGCGACCTCGGAATACTGCGTGTCGCAAGTGGCAGCTTGCTGAGACGCGGTTGCGAACGCCAATCAGGCGCGCGGAGGTCTTGGCGGAAGGTGGGCCAGCAGCTACACCGAGCTTGACCTGCATCTCCCAACATCACGAACGACGTTTTTGACTGCGATTAGAGCCTGACCATCACATCAACCCGCCATGTATCATTGTTTGTCGTCGTCAATGTTCATTAGTAGCCCTAGGCATAAGATCTGGTGTAGCCATGCAGCCATCACAGTCCACCGCTCATCATCGTATGGTGATCCATCAAAGTAATGTATTCGTCACCTACCTCGGTGGAATTGTATCAGCTGTCAACTCCGCAGAACTTATTGCACGATCAAAGAATTACGGGGATTGCAAATTATCTTCGCCAGTATGATCTCGGTTCACTCTCACCCGCAGTGGAGAGGTTGAGTATCTTCGCCCAGATTACCTTGCCGTAATCTCGTCTCCTCTCACCGTCGATGCTACAGCTCTATCCTCTTACCTTGGATGGCATCAATGAGGTATTTTACGATCGGCTTCGCGGCTTCCCACCGCTCCTTTGGATATATAAACAGGTACAGCACACCTCTCAACCTCTACAACTCCACCAACCTTGTCACTCTTCGGTTCCCACATCAAAGCATCTCCTCTATTGACACCCCTTCCTTTTCAACATCTTTATCATTGCAACTTGCTCTGTAACTTCTTTAGCCTATCATGAGCTCTTCTACCCCGACCACTCCTGTCAGTGAAGCCAGCAGTTCAGCTCCAGAGTCTCCACTTCCTCGTCGTCCACTCAAGTCTGCTCGTCCACGCCCAGTTCTCAATCCTCACAAAGTCTCGGCACCCACCCCTGACTCCAACGCTGCAAAGAGCAAGAACGACATCACCTTATCTGAGCTACATAATCCCCTTATGGTGTATGTGCATCATATATCAGTCAGTCACTTTAACACGGCTAACAACACGCAGCCACTTCCGCGACCCATCCGCGCTTGCTCGTAGCCAAGGCAAACACCGTCCAGACAAACTCTACCGTCACCATTTCGAGAATGCGGCCACTTTGTCTCTGTATGTGAACAAGATTAACCACATAAGTCACAAAGAAGTCCCAGACCTGAAGTTGCAGGATGGAAACGCGTTTCAGTCTGTCGGCACGCTCAAACCCACCAAGGACATCACCAAGGAACGTATCCACCGACATTACAAAACTCAACAGAAGCGTCGGCCTTCTGCTTACGTCTCTGCCATGCCATCAATGAGTAAGTCCCGTCTTCAAGTTGCACGATGATCAACACTGACATATACCAGAGGATGCTGAAGAGAAAATGCGCAACATGCACAAGACTCGCATTACTGCCCCGCGCCGTATGTTCCTCGCTGAAATAGATGTCTCAGATATGGTGGCTGGAATACTGAAGACTAAGATGGCAACCACGTCAGGTGAACACACCACCGATGACAGGAAGCCCCTCACGTTGTCTACTACAGATAGCTGGGTCGAAATCCCCATCTGGATCCAAGATGCGGTACCATACGAAGGATCTCCAGCCATCCGTCCGCCACGCTCGGTCGAGAGCATTCTCAACTCAGGTGGTCAGATATGGCTGTCCGTCAACGAACTTACGAAGTCCGATCTGCGGGTATGGGCTATGCAGAGTCACGAAAACGAATGGCTAGCTCTGAGCAACATCCCGGAGACATCTATCCTCAACGTCCTACCCTTCGATGGCGCTGTTCTGCACACAGGCAAGGGTTACGAGCTCGTGCGCAACCGTCGGACTGATGGTGGAGATATCTATCTTTGGAACTTTGACACCAACATGTGGGTGCACGACCCTGACCTTACGGACCCAAGCCCCTACCGTGATTCAAGGATTGGCGAAAAGCGAAAGGCCGACGGAGATGTCGATGTTGATTCAAACTCCGACGACCAGCGTACTCCTACACCCGACAGTGACTGAGTCAAGACACGTATCCCTTCTCCCTTATATTCATTGCGCAAGTTGGTATCCCAATCGAAGGATTACTGCTATCGAGCTTCGGTTCAGCCATGTCACTTCGTCTACTTCGATGAAGCGCGCTGCTACAGACGGGCCCATGAGCTATCCATTAGCGAGTTCCAGTCCACGTATTCATCATCATCAGCATTTCCTTTCTTTCTATCTTCTTTCAAAAGCCTTGTTTGCTTGTTTCATGCATCTTGGTCGAACGTTTCAGCTTGATTGCGCAAGTTATTTGGCATCACACCCATGATCGAGGTTATGCTTCGGAGCTCCACGCTTCTGATGAGGGCTTCTATCAGAGGTTTCGGAAACTACAGTCCAGACACACAATTGGTCTCCGGGGTAGATTTTGGTTGGTGACTACACATGGGTATTTGGTCTTTAGTTTCTCTCTCATTATTGCGTTGCTGCATACATACACACTCACTCTGCTCTTCCAATTGATACTTTCTGCGTGTAATCTTCAAGTTGACCCAAGCTTTTCCTGCAGTGACGTGACAACACGATGTAGGCGTGTGGACCTTGGTGATACTCAGCCCACTTTATAATGACTTCATCGAATCTACAGATATGCGCAGCTATGAGTGAATTATGCTGTTCCAGGGGCCTAGTTGTGAACTTAGTCCAACGGGTGCGGGGCGATGTGCAGCAAGATTGGCGGCAGGCGACCCCACCAAAAGCCGCCCGGAGCCCCCAGCTCCACGGGCCCTGCATGTGCGGCTGTGCAAGTGGCGAAGGACCGGACGAACCATGACTGCTCTCAGCCCTCGAACCTTCTCTCCTTACACCAATCTTCCAAGGTCAAAAGCCTCTGGATTCTCCTCCCTATTATCATTTCCCACTACACTATCAGAGAATCTATTTGAGTAGCAGGACTGCATCCGCTGCTACAAAGTCCGCAGAGATGCCTGCGCCACTGGCCAAAGGTGAGTACGGATAACTCCACTTATGCATGTTGCTGCGGTGTCCCCAGCATATCCAACGTTATTTCTCTTGTCGCGTATTCCTCTATTGTCTACTGTACTTTCCTATGCCAACCTGCTTGCAGGCACCGGCCCGCGCTTCGCATCCCCGCAAGCCAACACTCAAACCCCGCCGCACCGTCCTAACCACCCCTTCACATCAGGCCTCATAATCGCCGCGTCCGTCATCGTCGCCGCCGGTATCGCTATCTACGAGTCTCCCCAAGTGCGACAATGGGCCGATCAAACCCGCCGCAAGATCGCCATCGCGCTGCATAACCTTGGCGATGACATTCAGCCTCGACGCCCGAGCGAATCGTCCGATGACTTCGAAGCTAGGAAGCAACGGAGGGAGGAGTTGATCAGGAGGAATAGGAACGAACTGATCAGGCGGGCGAGGGAAGAGGGTATTGCTGTCGATCTGGATGAGCTGGCGAGGATCGGTGCTGAGACGGCTGAGGTGGCTGCCAGGCGGTCCAGGGCTGATCGGACGAGAAGCTTCGACGACATGGTTGGCAGCGATGGCATGCTCAGGGCCAACGCGACGGCAACTGGCACAGACAACTCGAATGGCAATCTCAAGAAGCGTGGTGCTGCTGGCTTTGCCGCCGGCTCCGCTGCCGCTGCTACCATGGCCAACCCCTTCTCCGACGACCAAGTCCTATTCGACCACGACGAAGACGAAGCGCCCTCACCCAAGCCATTCACTTACGAAGAACCCGCCGCCCGCGAAAGCTCCGCTACAATCGTAGCCGACGTCCCCTCCACACCCACCACCGGCACACTCGTCGACCTAACACCCGACCCCGAGCACTCCCTCCCCGAGATCCCATCGCCCGCGCAACCCCCCCAAGAAGACGCCGACCAAGCCGCCCAATCCTTCTACTCCTTCACCTCCTCGCAAGCAGGCGAACCCACTCCATCCCACCCCTTCTTCGACGACAACGACGCCGAGCACCTCTCCACCGGCACCCTAACCCCGCGCTCCGAGCGCTCCATGACCATGAGCGGCTCCGTCGCCTCCGCCCACGCCAACGACATCGCCATCCTCAGCATGCCCAACAGCGAACAAAACGACACAGACCACGACGCGCGTTCAGAAAGCGGGTTCACAGATGCCTTTTCCGAGGGCGGCTTCAGCGAGTTCGACGGCGATAGGCAGGGCATTATGACGCCTACGAGCTGGACGGATGTGGGTAGTGATGATGATAGTGAGTGGGGTGGTGCTGGACAGGCGGGGCACGTGAGTCAGATACATCAGTAGATGTAGGTTTCTTGGAAAGCGGAAGAAGGGGTTTCACTTGTTGGCTTCAAAATGATACTATAGGGCACGGCGTTTGTGGGTATACATCGGACTAGGGTAACCCGGCGTTTTGACTTAGATGGGAATGGGGTCATGGATCTCTAGGCAGCCATTTTCGCTATCAAATTCTTAACATATATCTTCGCTAACAACATCATTCAGTGACCAATCCTGAGCTTTCGTGCTGAACTGTTTGACAAAGCCATATTCAACACCACACATCTAACGCGTGGTAACCAACACCACACGCGCAAGCATGGCGCAACAAGAGCAGCAGGCCAAGGCTTTGGGAAAAGAGATCTCACGTTGAGGATTGTGTGTAATGCGGAGCGCAGACTGGGAATCTGGTGCAGCTCTTGCCATTCCATGGTAAGCGTATCGCTCTCAGAACATATGGTGGGACGGCCAGCTCAACAGGGTCCAGAGAGAAGCGAGCACGTGAGAGCTGCTGCCTGAACTCCTGCCTGAAATATCGAGTTTCTGTCGCTTTCTTTCTCTCTCTCCATATCTTTACACTTTCGCCTCGGCACTGCTCCTTCTTGTCCTAGACGAGTCATCTCCAGTTCATCTCTCAGATGGCGAATACTGTCGCCTCCAGCCTTTCAAATGACGTACCGAACCATGGTCATGCCGAGTGGTCTGTCGCGAAAGACTACTTCATGTATCGACGCAGCCTCGATCGCGCCATTAGAGACCGATGCTACGATTACCACAACCCCGATGACGATGGAACATGGTGCAACAACCACAACGAACCCGATCCTGAATTCGTCTTCATGCCGCCCCAAGTAAACGGCAAGATTCAGGTCAGCAACACTTTCAATTTACCCGGGCTGCCAGCAGAGCTAATTCTGAATGTCGCAGACCGCCTAGCACCAATCGACTTACTCAGCTTCCGCACAACTTGCAAGTACTTGCGAAGTCTAACGTGCACGAAGGATGCTCGATCGCGCTTACTACAACTAGATGCCAAACATCTCGACGAACACGCATGGCAGCATCGCAAGGACTGCTTCAACAGGATGGCGGAGTATGAGGACTCTAACAACGCTCTTTATAGATACACTCCACGTGGCAAGCTCCTTTGTAGCTACTGCATGGACCTTCACCCGGTTTCTTCATTCGATGCAGCTGAAACATCCACGGGTGGCATCGGGGGCACAAACCGAAGACGCTGTACAGCATCGACAGCCAAAGTGCATCTGTGTCCGCACATACAACTAAGCTTTGAAGATTTGCACCAACTCCACGAAAGCCCCGCCAATAGTCTTGCGTGCACGATTTGCGCCGCAAGCTGCACGTCAGGGACCAAGTCGACTACTTCGAGAGACTACTGCTCGCTAACTCAAAGAATGTTCCTACCTTTAGGAAGCAACCGCTACATGTGGCCAACGCCAGCCTGTCTCCCCATCAGAGGCGGCGCACTTCACTGCGACTCCTTCTCCGCCAAATCCGCGATACTGTCCACCCTCCGCAAAGTCATCCAGAATGCTAACATGTACGTCTGTCCACACGTAGACAATAAAGAAAAGGTCTGCGACATGCTTGGATCTATGATAGAAGATGCGCTTTTCCGGCGCCGCAAGGAAAAGCACAGTTTTTATGAGCCCGCTCCATACAAAACATCTGGGCATTTTTCGAGTTGTGCGAAGCCGGGCTGTATAGCTGAGGTTGTAGTGCGTTTGGAAGAGGCTGAGATTACTGTTGAGGGTTCTAGGGAGGTGAAGATCACGACGGTTAGAGCGGAGAGTTGGATGGTGAGTACGCAATCTCCAGTGGTTGATGCTCGGAAGTAGGAGATTTCTAAAGGGTTTTCAGGACTAGGCTATGCGAAATGTCGGTTCTGGTATCGAGAAGACACAGGGAAGCAACTTGGGTTGGACACACAACTATGCCCCGATGAACCGATTTACCCATCACATACAAGCATACCTAGGTACGTCCTCTTCACTTGTCCTGCTCGCTGACAAAAGATAGCAGTTAACAGATGCGTGGGTAGATGTTCTTTCTATTGCAAGCAAGCCCATGGTTCATCATCGCCATCCCACGGTACTGCGATAACCCAGAGGCGGCCTAGAGATGACAAGCCAACTACACCTCCCGCATTTCATACAACTTATACGCCAGGAGATACTCTACGAAAGAGAGAAGCATCGCACCTCTAAGAACCTCTGCTTTTGATAGGACGACCCAACCGAAGAGGTCAAATCAAACCATGGGCGTATTTGCGCACGTGATCATCCGCGCACACTGCTGCCTCGCCTCTTGTACTTATAACCAACAAACCTCAACCGAGCACCTACTATCCACCATACGGCCGTCTTCCTTTTCTCTACTCAAAGAGAAACTCCGCTCTAGCCTCAAACTTTCAGAATGGCGACAACCGGTCGCCCCAAGATCGTGTACAGTGCACCGGCACGCCCATTGGGACACAATGTCGCTGCCGCAAAAGACTACTTCATGCACCGACGCACGCATAACAATACACATGGGCCATCTCGCAGCGCATGTAGCAGGGCAGATCCTAACTTCATTCTGATGCCACTGAAAGCACCCAGCGAGACGTGTCACGCCGACAGTGCGAACCTCCTGGCGAAACTTCCCGCAGAGCTCATTCTGGACATTTTTGAGCTGCTGCCGCCCGTCGATGCACTCAGCTTTCGCACAGCATCCAAATACATCTATAATTTGTCCCTCAAAACTGTGCAGGGGACCTTCAGAGAGCTCCAAGGCGATGAAGTCCATGAATACGCATACCGACGACGCAAAGATTGCTTCAACCGGCTCGCTGAGTACGAAATGGCTAACGACGAGTCCAAACGGTATACCCCGCGTGGAAAGCTGCTGTGCGCCTACTGTCTCGACTTCCACCCATTATCGGCTTTTGGACCACGGGAAAGGGATTGCGCGGCTATCCTCGCCAGCGAACGACACTGCACAGCATCCAAGGCCACCGTCTACTTCTGCCCACACAAACAGATGGCGTTTCGAGCCTTCCTTCGGCTATTCAAAGCCTCTCGTACACCTGACCTTAGTTACTGGACAGCATGTACGCAAACATGTGAACCTTGGATCAGAGCCGATCCGATGCAGTCTTCCTTCAACTTGTTCCAGGAAATTCCTCTATACATGGCAGACCTAAAGGGCCCCTGGGGCACACAAGAGTACCCCGCACTCACACGCTGCAGGAGATGCAGCGTTGCTTGTTTCCCCGGAAGCGTCGCCTCTGCCGACATTCTCGAAGCGATCAAAGACATGGATGTATACATCTGTCCTCATACGCAGGGAAAAGAGAAAGAGAAAGTTGCACATCTCCTGGAGAACATCACAGCCGAGTCTGCCTGCCAGCGTTTCCGAGGCTGCTACTATGGCGGTGAACATACAGTCAATGACCCCAATGTCAAGCTGATGACTGGTGGGGAGACAGAGTGGCACTGCGAAGAAAGTGGATGCGGAGCAGCGTTGTACGTTGTATTAGACGGGATCAAATCGCGGGTCAATACTTACAGATACCTGAACATGACGACTGTTACATCGGAGAATTGGTTAGCGAATACTGAGTCTCCAGGACTCTGGAGACTGAGATCTCGGTTGGAATAGGTTGGCTTGCGCTGAAGGATGCGCTTGGTTGAGACTTTATCTGCTAAAGTGGCAATGCGCGAGCTTGTGGAGGGGACGTGCAATCGATGTAGCACAGAACGCTCGATCAGCGATTAGGAATACATCCCCACGAGCCCATCTATACATCACATGACTACACACTTCTTCCCGTTCCTCCCTTTCCCCTCTCCATCCACACTACTTCCCCCTTCCCGTTCCCCTTCCTTTCCCTCCCTCCCCCTCATCAAAACTTCATCACATACCTCCCTCACACCCCCCACATACTCACCCCTCAACACCCTCTCCACCTCCTCAGTCAGTCTCTCAATACCCACTACAGTCTCCAAACCGATATGTTCAATATGCCCGTGCTCAATCGGTGCGGAGATACCTTGCAGAATGGAGTTGTATCTGTTGATGTAGGGTTCAAAGGCTGGGGAGTTGCGTCGCTGGGCTATGTCGATGATGATGGAGCAACGATGGAGGGCTCTTGTCAGACGTGGATTTGTGGGCGGTAAGCTAGGCGTACTGGGCGGAGAACTCGTTGGGCTTTCGGTAGCTAGTTTTGACGCCATCATTTGTAGTATGTAGAAAAGGAGTAGGGCTGTGTCAGCGGTTTATGAGCAGGTTTTGGAAGTACTAAATCAAAACCAAAATGCCAGTAAGCTCATCACTGATGAACAACTGCGTCATCACAGCCGTCACAAGCCGTCATTCATAGCTGGTCGTAAGCTGGCAAAGTGTCTCCAGCGATGCCTGGAAGCATAACCTACCATACATCCCTTCGTCACGATACGTCACATGTCTTTGCAACACAGCGACTGAAACATACACACACTCACCATATGCCATACCCTCACATATCCTCCACCCAATCCACACATACACATCCTGCGCCTCCTCCTCCACAGCCACAAACTTGCCATCATGAAGCACCCACACATATTTCCCCGTCGAAACTCCTTACCAACAGAACACTCAGCCCTCCTTCCACCGCCAAACACACCACTCACGCTCTCCCTCCTCACACCGCCCCGCCACCCCTCCCCCGCAAACCCACAAAAGCTCCTCTTCGCCCGCTACGCACAAACAGCATACCTTGCAAACACCCTCTTGGCCGCAATGCAAGAGGTGTTCTACCGCGTTGTGCCATACCCGTTCGACAAGAAGTTGTTAAGGAGTATACATAAGTTCAAACCGCTTTTGTTAGGGGCTGTCAAGAGGTTTAGGGAGATGGAAGTGATGTATAGGAAGGCGGTGGAGATGGGAGTGGAGATTGGAAGGGGTGGGGGGTTTGAGATGAGTATGGAGAGAGGGGTGGATGAGTTGGAGGAGTTGCTGGGGAGGGCGAAGGGGGTTTTCGGTGGGGGGTTGGGGATGTAGGGAAGTAGTGATATTTTGTCATCTGGGGTGTTCTTTTCATGTGTGCTGTGAAGTAAGCATGTGAACCAAAGTCTAGTAATCTCATGACAGCCGGCTTTTCGGTTTTTGAAGAGCAGTACGCCAACGCGAGTAGGCGGGGTGTGACCATTATTGCTCGGACTCCGAACGGTGACGCCCAATGCTCCACGTTTGCCATGCAAACAACCTTCATGCCACGAAACAGTGAACAGCCCATCATTCCATACACCCAACCACCTCCACACCTCCTCTCCCCTCCTCGTCATGCCCGATATCCATCTTCGATAACACCTCTCAACCCACATACCAGCATCCCCACGCATCGCCAGCGCAACTCCAACTCCACCCACTGTTTCTTCCTACCCAGAACACCCCACCCCACTACACACACCACGCCCTTCAAAACATCATGCCAACAGACCCCCACGGGCAAGCCCACACCGGCGCCTACGGTCTCTTCGACGACCCAGACGAAATCGCACAAACAACCGCGCGCGAAGAAGCACACGAGATACACCGTCTGGAAGGCCAGATCCGGCGCCAAGAACGGCGCGACAGGCGTCTCGATCGGAAAGAGGAGAAGAAAGCTGCGAAGAGAGCTGCGGCGGGGAAAGCGGCGGGGTTGAAACCACGGTCGAAGATCGTTGGGTTACTTGGTAGAGTCTTTGGGGGTCGGGTTCCGCCTACTACCATCGGGGGCTCTGCGGTATCAGGGGAGGGGAATGCGGGTGGTGATGGCGATGGAGAGGAAGGGGTGAAGAAAGTAGAAAGAGTGAAGAGGCCGGGGTATAAGATCGTACGCCGACCGGCGACACCGGATCAGGTGTATCATGCTGAAGATGTGGATGCCAGTGTGGATAGTCCTTGGTTGAGGGAGTGTGGGATGGTTAAAGTGAAGAGTGAGGGGGCGGGGGGCTGTCATATTGTTTCTAAGACGGATATTGAGAAGAGTGAGTAGGTGATGGGGGTTGTGTGGGTTGTTAATTGAGTTTGCGATGATACCCTTGTATGTCTGGAGGAAGCAGCAGCTGCTGAGTAAGGTTCAATGTCGCTTTGGTGGGTGGTCTTTCTGGGCTTGTCAACTCTTTCAAATCTTACTTCTCATGCCTCTGTTGCTGCTCGTTGAAGCGTCAAATTGTCATCTAAGCTGCATTCGGTACGAGCCTCGCAGGACTCTTTTGAAGCTTAGCATTACGCTACTAGATGCGGGGTAAGGGCATAGTCTGCTTCAAAATAGACTGTTTCGTGCCTGCAAACCCCTCATAACAAAGTCGTTAGGTAGATTCAACGCGTGTCCATCGATTGCGATGATAGCAAAACGTGACAGCGAATAGATGGGGTTGACAGATGTCGATGGTCTGGCCACGCGCGCTAATGTTTGCTATTTGCTGTTTCGAGCAAGCGTTGGCCAGGGGATCGGCGAACTAAGCCCCTTGCAGCAAGCCGCAAGGGAAGGAATAGATGGACAGGGCTTCACCTCGACTTCTTGTTCTACACCGCTGCCGCAAACAAACAACACGCCAACCTCTCAATCGCACCCAAACCCCGTCGCACTCACCACCGCGACCCCCAAACCCGTCCCACACACAACAACGACCCCACACCATGTCGGCCCAGCCAGAGAACCAACAGATGGAGGGCGTCCAGGACCCCGCTACCGACGTCAAGGGCAAGGGCAAGGCCCAGGAGGGCGAGACAGTAGAAGAGTCCATGGACGACGACTCGAGCGACGAGTCTGGCGTTGAGGACCAGGTACGTTCTCCCCGCGCTCACCGCCACAACTTCACGCGCAACCCAGCTAACATGAGCGCGTAACAGGCCGGCGAACGTAAGCTACCTTATTCCGCGAACTACCACACGCCTGAACGTGTCGAGCTAACACGCATACAGCCGAGGAGCCTGATGAGGACAACATGGAGGAGATTGACACGTCCAACGTCCTGAGCAGCCGCACGCGCGGTAAGAACATCGACTTTGCCAAGGCCAACCAGGAGCTTGGTGATGAGGATGAGGAGGACGATGACGACGACTTTGTCGACCCTGACGACCAGATGAAGGACTAGATGTGTTGCAGTTGCGACATCCGTCTTGAGGTATGTTGGCAGCCAGTCCGCCCTTGCTCAATGGACCCCGCTAACAAAGTAACTTCTCAGGACTTCTCCGGCGCGTTCGATAACATCTTCGTCAGCTCCGTACTTTGGCTAGGGTTATGTGATACATATACAAAAGGCATTTGGGTAGCGGGAAATGGAACTCTTACCGACGTACTGGAGTCTCGGCGCGACTTTGCAGGTATAGCGGGACATTGGGTTGTGTGGATACTTTCATGTGTCGCATGGACAATGGACTGCAGCTTGAGCGCGTACATGGCACCAGCGTGCGTTTATGAAATGGAAATGATGAATACCCATGGACTTGACTTGGCTACTCGCGTGCATGTGAGACTGAATAGTCAGGCTACACTCGTATTGTTTATTGCAAGCGATGGACATATCCAGCGATGAGCTTGCAGGCTGCTGGACAGTTCAAAGACAGAGCTTCGCGATCTAGAGAAAGCATGCTGGTTCTCAAACACGCTTACCCCGCCTTTCCTTGGTACTTCACGTCCTTCGAACGCGTGTGCACGGTACTACCCCCGTGTCCAGCCCCAGTCTGAACCGACAGCAGGAGTGAGTTACCATTACCCTACCTATACGTTAGATTACAGGGTCCAATGAGCTAGTCAAGCTGCAGTTGCAAGCAAGGCAGTTACTGTTACAATTCTTCCCAGAAGACGGTGCTTCAGAACCGCCGGCAGATCCTGAGGGCAGATGTTATGTGATGTGAAGCGTACATGTGCATTAATTCCTACGCGGGATCAGGTGATGTCCATGCTGTTACTCGCTATTACTAAGATTGTACGTAAGGTTACTGCGAGCAGGGCGACTTGATGTGTCAGGATATCGTCTGAATTGAGGAGAAAGGAAATGGAAAGAAAGGCGAGAGTCGGGATCGTGTGACGGTGATTATTCTCATTTGGTGAGTAATTGTACGTTGCGGTCACGACTTCCAAGGTTGCGACTTCTGGTTTCGCCAGAAGGACAGACGAGAAGGCGCACCCTGACTAGATGACGAAAACCATATACCTCAGACTGCACAGATTAGTAACGGATGAATGCGACTGAATGGCCCGGGATACCAGTAATGTCACGAGACCAGCAATCCCAGGAAGATCATCTTCTTACGTATACACCTGTGGCAAGATTGACTGCCCCAACCCCATGGCACAGTATCGAGACCCTGGAAATTGACCCACGTAACACGTTGTATGTTAATCCCGGAAAAACCTCGCTGCCTCCCACTCTTGTGCTTCCTGACCCAAAGCGGAAAGCATTAGGTACACGAATCCTACGGAAAGTTTTTTGTTGCCTGCAGGCTGAGTTGACGCGCTAGCTCAGGGTCCTGATGAGCTGCCTGGAGTATCCGCCGCGGACTTGACCAGCAGCGCCAGACAGCGTCCGAGGCGACATCGGCCAGTTTGAAAGGCAACGGGCTCGGCTGCACTCGCTGCGCGACACGGATTTGCCTGTTCTCGTGACTCGTCTCCCGCTACGTACTGCCGCCAGCTAAGGCAAACTGTCTTCCGGTCTGTTCCGAACATGATGAGGACATTGATGTGTGCTCGCCAGCCGTTACGTGGCGACGGGATGGCCAGAGTCGCCCAATTTCCAAAACTCCAAGGACGGACCTGCGGACGGTACAGTAAGATGAATTTGTTTTTGAGTTTGCGGCTAGGCAGAGGGATAATCACTGCAAGCTGAGCGAGCGATGATGTCGACGAGTGCGCACAAAGAGAGGTTCATCGACGCTCCGCTGCTGGATGGCGGGGTTATATTGATCTCCCGTCCAACGAGCGTCGACACGACGTCTTCCGTCGCGCGACCGTCCGCCCTGGGTCGCGCTTGGGGAGAGATAAGGCCTGAGATGACCCTCTCGAATTACGACAGACAAGTCGTGGGCTGCCGAGGCGAGGCCGCCGGGCCAATGGCAGCCGCCGCTTTTCAGATGATGCGGCGTGGGCTGCAGCGGCAATCTAGCCGGTGGAGCAGAGGCAGAGCGGAAACACATGCAAGTCCTGGTCATCAGATGTCAAACCGACCTTCGGAGCCCAGGATGCGGCGCACGGCCAAACTGCTGCAGGGCGGTCGCGCCTGCCTGGCCACTCACATGCTGCCCTTTGGTCATGGAGTGGCAGAAAAACCGTGGGGTAGGCCAATTTTCCAGACGCAATACGCCGCGAGGCAGTGATGGTAGACAGACGTTGGAGGCAGTGTAGTATTCTATATGGACGACTTCATAGAGAATCCAGCGACCTCATGTTGAAATAATTCGTAGTAGTAGTATATAGTGGTATACCGTCTAAAGTGATACGCGATACAGTCCGAGGTCGGGTCCGCTCCAACTTTCCATGCGATATTCACTCGTAAAGTACCAAGACCACCTCCAAGACCAGGCAGTTCCCAGTTCGCATCGGCACACACGCGGAGATGGCCTAAGTGACAGCACGAACGCCTCCCTCGACACGCTTCCAGCCCGGTAATTGGACAACGTTGAAGTCAAGTTGTTAGCGCATTGGGAAAATATCCACCCCACCAGGAGCCCTCCGCTCTCTTATTCATAAGTACGCCCGCCCAATCTCCCGCGACCCTCTGTCCCTTCACGTACCTGCTCGACACACAATCGCTACACTTTGCTTGCCGGAACGCCGCGAGCCCACCACCAGGCCTGTTCCACCAGCCCTGCTAGCAAGTAAGTCGCCCGCCTCCCACATGTACTCCCGCTGCACCCATCCACCGCCCGCGCCCAAACACTGTGCTTTCCCACCACCCGTCCTGCGTGAACAACACAGACAATCGTTTTACTGGTCTACGCGTGCCACCCCGCGTTAGCCCATTCGCTATTCCCTTATCAGCGCACTCGTGCTTCCAACAGCTATCAGTCGCTGCTGGGTACGGGGGAACGTCATAGCCCTCAATCGCTATATCCGGCGGGTGAAGCTGGTGACGAATCCAGCCCATCTTTCTGCTGCCTTGGGGGGTTGATAGTCACCAGCGACCCCGTCCTTGCAGCGACTGATCCCCACCCACATTCGTTGCTTTTGAGCTAGAGCTCTAGGCGCATCTGTACCAAATATCTTCGATCCTCGGCTCGCACTCACCGACAAACTCTTCTCCGAATTGACAACTAATATCCGCCTCAGACTTCACCTAGACACTATTACCAGAGCAGCAGCTCCCACTTGACGCGTCGAGCGACCCCGCCACACTCCCATATCGATACCGCAGCCCCGCTACCCACACCAACGAACCCAGAACTTCGGCCTTTCGCCGATATAATGGGTCGGGTCTCGTTCGCCGAAGATACAAAATTGCCCCAGGAACCCCAGATTGAAGAGTATCAGAGCTCCGTGTTTGAGTATCAAGATGGCCCCGAGAACAAGTCGTGGGCAGGTGCGCTGCCCTTGAAGCAGGGTCTCTACGACCCGGAGCTCGAGAAGGATGCTTGCGGTGTCGGTTTCGCTGCGTGAGTGACGGAATTGCGCTTTCCGTGGAGTGTGAGGGCTGACATTTGCGTAGCCACATCAAGGGCAAGGCCAGCCACAAGATTGTCTCCGATGGTAAGAGCGAACAACGCGAGAGTGGTGCAGGATAGAGTGCTAACAAATCCCAAGCACGGTCGTTGCTATGCAACATGACACATCGAGGAGCCGTGGGCTCAGACGCACGCGACGGTGACGGTGCAGGTGTAATGACCTCCATCCCCCACCGCTTCTTCCTCAAGGAGTTCGAGCGAGAGCAAGGCTACAAGCTCCCAAGCCTTGGCCAGTACGCCACTGGTAACCTGTTCTTCAAGCCCGACGCCACCATCTTGGAGGAGACCAAGGCCATGTTCGAGGACGTTGCAGACCAGCTCGACTTGAGGGTGCTCGGATGGCGGACGGTGCCCCGCGATTCCACACTTCTTGGACCCGCGGCGCTGTCGCGAGAGCCCATCATTCTCCAGCCATTTGTGGTTCTGAAGACTGCCTACGGAGATGCCCGGGAGCCCAAGGCGGACTTCCAGGAGAAGTACGACAACGCGTACTTTGAGCGACAGCTGTATGTCATGCGAAAGCGGGCTACACACGTCATTGGCCTGCACAACTGGTTCTACGTTTGCTCTCTGAGCAACAAGAACATTGTTTACAAGGGTCAACTATCTCCCGTCCAGGTCTACGAGTACTACCACGATCTGCTCAATGTCGACTACGAGGGTCACTTTGCACTAGTGCACTCCCGTTTCTCTACCAACACATTCCCCAGTTGGGACCGTGCTCAGCCTCTGCGATGGGCGGCTCACAACGGTGAAATCAACACCCTGCGAGGAAACAAGAACTGGATGCGCGCCCGCGAGGGTGTCATGAAGTCCAGCCTTTTCGGCGAGGAGCTCGACCTCCTCTACCCCATTGTCGAGGATGGTGGTTCCGACTCTGCAGCTTTCGACAACGTTCTTGAGCTGCTCACCATCAACGGTGTTCTGTCACTCCCAGAAGCAGTTATGCTCATGGTTCCAGAGGCATGGCAGGGTAACAACACAATGGACCCCGCCAAGCAGGCCTTCTACGAGTGGGCTGCCTGCATGATGGAGCCTTGGGATGGTCCCGCTCTCTTCACATTCTCGGATGGACGATACTGTGGTGCCAACCTCGACCGTAACGGTCTTCGTCCTTGCCGTTACTACGTTACCGATGACGACCGCATCATCTGCGCGTCTGAAGTCGGTACCATCTCCATCGAGCCTGAGCGAGTCGTACAGAAGGGTCGCCTGCAGCCCGGTAGGATGTTGCTCGTCGACACTGTCGCTGGCCGAATTGTCGATGACGCCGAGCTGAAGAAGAGCGTCTCAGAGCGTGTCGACTTCCGTTCTTGGATCCAGAAGAACCTTCTTACTCTTCCCAAGATCCTGGAGGCAGTCCCTGCAAAGGGTGTTGACCTATCATACCAGCTCACTGAGACTAAGCTACACGAGGATCCTCGTCTAAGGG